TTTGTTTACGTTATGCCTGCGTTTTTCGGCTGCATAATTGATAACAACAGCTTGGGAGGCGGTGGCGGAAAAGTGGGCGTGAGTCATAAGGAGGGCGGCGGTGCAAGAGCAGAGATTTTCGGGTTTTTCCTACGCGCCGTCGCGTTTTTATTTTGTTGGTAATTACGAATGATTTGGACGAACAATCCTTTTAACAAATCTCATTACGTTGTCAATTACGCGCCATTACCAACAAGGGCGACTTTCTCTTCGGCTTGGCGTACTAAAATCTCATTAACAGGCTTTAATTTTCCAAACAAACTTAAGTGCGCCAAGGATGAAGGAACTCATCCAGCGGAATTTCCAACTGGGGATGCTGGTAGTTTTTTAATGGCCTTTATGGGTTTCTAAATTCATTGATGCTTGAATAAGTCCAAGTTTGAGGAGAAGAGCTTTGTTATCTAGCAATAATATGATTCTAGTAATTATCTTTAAAAATTTAAGAAAGTTATTTAAAACAATTGTGTTGAATTTATTTGAATTCCCAAGAATGATGCGAAATAACTATGTGCTTAGGGTATCAAAAACCATGTTCTTCTATATAAAAAGGATGCCATGCCATCATGAGCCATCTCTACTCCTAACTGGCGACCCATATTGTCGACTTATCATGGCGTACGATTTCGTCATAATCTGTAATTAGTTTATAATGCGCACAGGAAGTGCGAGCGAGGAAGTGGCAGGAGCAGGACAATGCCGACAACTCCTGTCTTAACCTTTCAGCTATGAGGCAAACTGCGATTAGGGGCCAAGTCGATAAACATAAAAGTTAATGGTAAAATTTTTTAATTAAGAAAATCAATGAATATTTTTTCTCCTACTTCCCGTTTATTTTCCTCCCTTTCCCATGACTGCATTATGGGTATTTAGCTGCTCAGCATCCATTGCCATTTCCTCCACTTTGGATGGCACCATTTTAACATTTATGACTTGCGATTTTCACGACTCTCGAGGATAATGAAAAGCACAAGGGAACTGGAAACAAAAACAAAAAAAACGTCTTTGGAGCGTTTTCCTTTTTTTCTATTGTATTTAATAAGCTTAAAAACAAACTTGCTGTCGTGCAATTATTAAATGCAAACGTTCATAGATTTTAATTGGCATTTTTTTGTTTCTGCTCTGGCTATTTAATAATGAATCACAATTTATGCGGATGCCTAAGTCAACAGAGTTAAAGCGTTTAATTAAATTGCAAAACCGAATCACTTTAAGCCGCAACAAAATCAAAGCCGCAAGTACAAAGATAAATAAGTGGCATTGTCGGTTTCATTTCCGGCTGCAACATTTGCATTCAAATCGCTGTGGCTGTGTGGGTATTCGCTGTCTGTGTCGTTGTAAGCGGTATATAAGTAGCCTTCCAACTGGTTTTATATTTAGGCGTTTGCCTCTGCTTAAGAGCACAGAAAGAAGGCAATAAAAAGCAGCACGCCGCGGCTGTGAAATCTAAGTCAAAAAGGATGTGGCCTTGGTGGGGAGGGGGTGCTGTAGGTTTTTGGATTTGTGGGTGGCACTCCCACTTAACAACAGCTGTCGCTTCCGTAGAACCACCCACAACCCCATTTGTATTGGCTGCCACGAGTTGGCCTCGACTGTCTTTCAGTTTCTCACTTCATCAGTTACACCGAAAAGGAGACTCTACAATAAATTTCGCTGATTGCTTCCGCTCTTTCCATTTTTTTTCTTTTTTTCGGCTGCCGCTTCGCATCTACGCTGGCTCATTTTTTATGCCGCTTGATAAAGTAATATCCGTTTTAGGTTCGCTTGGTTGTAGGTCCTGCCAACTAGACCTTACAGCACTTTGGCGGACTTTACAATACCCTCAGGCCCCCAAGAAAGTGGTAGAAAGTCAGTTTCGCGCACTTGGGGTGGGGTTTATGTGGCAAAATGCAAATGGTGGGGCATATTAAAATATTAAGTACTGTACAGTCAAGAAAATCCACAAAATAATAAGATTCTAAGGCTTATAAAATATCATATCGAAATTTCTCTTACATTGCAAGTACGGAGGCAAATTAATAATTCCACAATAAGCAAAAACTAGAATTAATTAAAGTGATAATCCCTTTAACAAATGAATTTATAAATATTTTGCTGAATTATAGTATCGAACATTTGTACAATCAAATTTCTGATAAGCTTAAGTGGTCAAAATAATAATTGCTGGAAGTTATTAAAAGTGCTCTAAAAGGAAACGCAATTAAATGAAAATCACTTTAAACAGCTTCCTATGTGTTTAAAAATGAATAATGCGATAAAAACTTCAACAGAACCCCCAACAACCGCATTTGCCGCAACTTGGGCTGAATAATTACGGGGTATTAACTACAAGGTATACAAAAAATGTCAGTTGCTGCAAGTAATGTGCCAACTTTGGGCTATAATTTGGTGGTCCCTCCCCCCAAGTCCCCTGCCCCAAACAAGCTGCAGCAGTTTTGTGGGTCTAACACAGATTTGTGGCCTTGGCTTTTTCGGTGGAGAGTACGGTCCATGGGGCGTATGCGTCATATCAGCACACGCATACGCCGTGTAGGTCAATCCTGTACGACCAAAACGAGCGTTTGTGAGTGTGTGTGGCTCTGTCCATGTGTGAGCGTGTGTGTGTGTGTGCGTGTGTGTACTGGTGTAGGTGTAATTGAAACTTCCGCTTTGGTCAGTTAGCGCAATTTAGCAAGCTGCAAAAAAGTTAGGCACGGCTGAAGTAACAGGCAAAGTGCAAAGTCCATTGCAGCTACTTGGCTTTCATTTCAATTTAAACTTTGGCAAGCTAAAGCCAGCACACACTCACACACATGTGCACTGGGCTCACACATGGACACACGCAGTCATGGAGAGTGAAAATTATTTTAAATTATTTATTTCACAACAATTTTCATTAGGTGGCCAACTGCAATGCAGGTTGCCCGCTTTTCCTCATACCTTATACTCTTTCCCACACGCTCGGCACTAATTCACTTTTGCTGATTTTTGTGAAAAAATACATGCGAATGCCTTGAGAGGTTTGGGTGAATGTGCACTCATGTTTCATATATGAAATAATTATATGTGCGGTCAGCACAGTCGCTGCCAAAAGGCCGCCGACTGGCTGCGGGCAGTGCAGCATTTTCCCTGGTACTTTCTAAAAAATATAGGGGGGTGGGGGGTGCAAAAAAAATATAGAAAATTTGTGGCACTGCTACATGGTCCATGTTTCTGCTGCATAACTTTTGCGGAGATTTCCCTCAACTGAGGGACACGCCCCCTCCATTTTGCCGCCCCCAGGGCCACTGTCATCGTCTATGTGCAAAATTAGTGGCAAGCTAGCAAGATGTAAGCGCAAAAAAAAAAAAAAAGAACGCCAAAGGAAAATGCAACTGGCTAAAGGTTAACAAGCGTCAGACAGGCCACCAGCAAACTCGGGGAATTACCCTCCGGCAGCACAGGAAAAAATCAACGAAAATAAATAAAAGAACTTATAATTTTTGGCCACCACACACAGAAAGCGTAAAAATGGCTGAAAAAGAGTGTGGCCAAAAGAGGAATGTTAATGAAAAGCAAGCGTGAAATAAATTTTCCAGTGGGGGAGTGAAAAATGCTAGTTTTCCACAGCGCGTTTTTGTTGTTTTGTTATTATATGGCATTTGTATGCACATGCCAACGAGATGGAGAGTTGGCGGAATACTTAGAGCTAGAGCTGGGAATTGGACTCGGGTGAGTGCATTTGCGGTAAGCCCCCGAATGCATACAATGATAATGTTATACTTGGCGAAAGTGCTAGTATGTGTGTGCGGTTTGGCTAGGATTTGCCCCAGGGAAGTCCAGTCCGGGGTCCTGTCCAGAGTCTAGACTTGGTCAGCTAAGCTGGCCCAGCGATTCGATGAGTAGTTGTCATAGAAATGGGTGGGGCAGGAATGCGGATGAAGTTGATGAGGGTTAGAATGCGCAAAAGTGAAAGATAGACATGACTTGGGATGAGATGTGTATTTTTAGGGAAAGTTGTATTAATAACACAATTCCATAGGGAAAGGGCTGAATGTGTTCCTTTTATGTTAGGTGCTGTAATAGATTTGCATTTCGTACTCAAACAACTCGAGAGCATCTCAAATAAAATATAGAACCGACTGTATTGTAAGGAAAGCTTTTTCGTGGTGCGAAACTTTGCTACAACGCAGGCTTATTACGACTCAAACCTTTTAGTGCGTTTTTTAACCGCATTCGTCACTAGAATAAATGCAAAAGACCAAAAAATTTTAAACCGCACAAATGCTTTAAAATACTTCAAACATTTATGCAGAAACTGTTCCATCCATTAAAAATAGTGATAAAATATTTTAGAAAATTGTGTACATCTTTATTATTTCTTTAACTACCTTTCCTTGAATGTATTTCATGTTTTGTGGTTGATGCTTTGCTTCATTGATATTTCGCACTGGAATCGCTGTTTCAACCTATAAAACGTGTGGCAACTTAGGCGAAAACAATTCGAGGCGTTCTTTGCTCTAAACATTAACTAATAAAATGCATAAATCTGTTAACAATTTGTGTGTTTCCTCTGCGCTTTGCTGGTGTGCTTACATAAGTAATTCGCTATGATTAATGCTAATCTGATTGTTATTGTTATTTATGCGATTTAGCTATAGCACTTCGTTATAGGAGTTAAAGCCAAGAACCGAGTAACGGCAACATAGTTCTGATCTCAACGCATTTTCTCTCTACACGAGTATATGCATGTATATATAGTATTTATGTGTGTATCGTTATGAATGCTGGTGAGTGTATATATAAATTCCATTTGTCGACAATTGCACAACAGTTAAAAGTATAGTAAACAATTAATAATAATGACTTTAGCTATGGCCGGGCCCAAATACGATTTGCACTATAATTTTTTGTGTGTCGATTAACTTGATGTACTTTGTGAGTGAGATATCCCTAGCAGTATGCAGTAATTTCCTAAGTTCTGTAATTAGTTTTACTTTCTTCGGTTTCAATTTGTTATGTTAGGCTTGTATTTTGAGTCCAGCTACAAAACGTTGCATAAAGTTGTATAAAAGTTTTGGTATTACCATTGTTTCCATTTGACTAGCGATTAAATACAAAAACCCAATCGATTTGCAGGCGACAGTTAGTTCAACCTACACACACCGCATATATCTGCGTGTATATAAATAACATTATATAGTATTGTTAGAAACGGCTGCTATAAAATCACTGCCACAGTAATTGGCCACTATCCCCATAAGACTAACGTAATCGTTAACTCTATGTATAAGTAATTCATAAGCGCTAATATTCGTTTAATGCAACAAGTCTATGTGGGATCGTCATCTCATCCTCCGTCGTATCTGTGTCGATTTCTGCCCCCTCCATTTCCATTGCCCGCATCGGACGCATTCCCATCATCCTCGTCCTCCGCCCCATCCTCGTCCTCCTCCTCGTCCACCTCCTCCTCCTCCTCCTCATCGGACTGCTCGGATCAGTCGAATATGCAGACGAAGATGCGCAGACAGTTCATGCCCACCTTCTCCCAGCATCCCTCCTCCGTGGGTCGGCCCTCGTGGGCCAGCCGCATCTTCTTGGGATAGTTCTTCGGACTGCTCCGGTCGCTCAGGTGCACGGGCATCCGGGCGTACTCGGCACGCGGCTGGCGGAACTTCTCCAGCAGCTCCGCCTGCTGATCGGTGAGGTTCTTTAGCTTTTTGCCTGCAATAGAGCAAGAAAAAATATTAGTAAACACTCTAAACATTTTTAGAAAAGAAATTTGTCTAGCACGGAAATTATTCAAAGGCATACTCCCGATAAGACAGCATCTTTACTGCCTTTGTCACATTTTTATGAAAAGTTTGAATGCGCTGTTTGAATATATGTCTTCAAAATGTAAGCTAGCTGATAAAAATATATAAACATTTTGTGCAACCAAATAACAGATAAGAAGTAAAAACAAATGTTTGGCTATAAAAAGGCGTAGAATTTATGATTAAATTATAAGCTTTAAGATACTTGTTGCTTCAAATAGCTTAAAATATTTAATTTAAATATTATAGATATAGATATAATATAGATATAATGAAAAAATTTTAAACTTTAAAATACTTCTTGCGTGCAATCGTTTCAAATTACTAGAGATTACTAGATTACAATCTAGATCTAGACTGAGGGGCAATAGATAAGCCTACACTACGGTTACTCCATGGGGTTACTCACCCTCGAGGGCGTCGGTGATGAGCGATATCTCAGTGGGTGGCAGTAGCTCCAGGCGTTCGCAGCATCGCCGGAATTCGCTGGCGGTCATTCGCAAGTAGCGTGGAGTGAGGCACAGGGGACCCAGGACAGTGCGACGGTTCTCCGGCGTGGCGTCGATCTGCTTGCGGGCGCACTCCGCCAGACTCCACGTGGCCAGGCACTCGAACAGTGTGACCTCCGATCTCAGCTGCAAGGTGTCCCTCTTGACCAGCGTCTCCAGCTCCTCGAACCTGAGCTCACTGATCTCCGGCATCGAGAGCTGCAGCTCCGCGTGCATATCGATCAGCTGGAGTGTGTTGTGCAGCAGCGCCACGCCGTAATCTTCGGTGGTAAAGGGATTCGGGTTCGGAATGAGGTTCAGCTGGGCTCCATCGCCCTCCGCTCCGTTTTCGGTGGACTGAGCGGCCTTGGCTGCCGCCAACTGCTTGGCCGCCGCCTTCGCCTTGGTCGCCTTCTTCCTGGCCAGCTGCTGGCCCGTCTCCTGGGTGGTGATCACTGTCTGGTGCTGGTTGGTCAGTGCGATGCCCTGGTAGAACCACAGCGCCTTGAAGATGTCCAGTGCGGTGGCGCTCGAGATTCTGAGATCAAGTTCGCGAATGCAGTAGATTATCTGAAATGGTTCAAATAACAAATAATTATATTATGTTATTGGTTGTCCACACAAGTAAGAACTGACCAGATCTGGAACGTTGAATCGATCGGATAGCTCGAGTATCTTGAGCAGGTGCTTGTGGTCGCGATAGGGAATGAAGTGCTTCTCCATGTAGCGGACGATCAGCTCGAAGTCGTTCTTGTCCACGTTGAGTATCTGGAAGTGGTTGTCGCTCTTTCGACCGCTGTTCGGACCGGCGTGGATCAGCTTGGCCAGCTCCACGCTCCGCTCGAGCACCGATTTCCGTTCGCATCTGATCATGTAACGATCATCCCCATTGACCACGATGAAGTCTATGTAGGGATTCACGATGATCGGAACACCAGTGTATATGTTTGTTTGACCCCGGGAGTAGGGTGGTGGCATCATGTGAGCGGGCGGGGCACTGGGCGCCGGAGCACTCTGGATGGCGTCCACATGATGGCCATCGGGTCCAAGTCCGAACGGTAGCACCATTCTGTTCGGCTCCCACTCCTCGTTGTTGTTGGGTTGCTGGTTGCCCTGCGGTTCAGTGATCTCCTCCTCCTTGTCCTTGTCCTGTGCACCCTCCCGACGCCGCAGTGCCTTGTGGACCAGGGCTCCCACCAGCGGGAATTTGGTGACACGCTTTTCCTTGACCAGATGCTCCTCCAGATGGGCGTTGATGCGTCGCTGGCGGTATTTGTTACCAGGACGGGGCTCTAGGCTCTCCCTGTCGTGAAAGGCAGTGATTTTGCTGGAGAACTGAAAATAGAAACACACACTATGAGGTTGGGTATATTTTTAAGACTTATGAATACCCAAACAAGTTCAGCCGGATAAAGATTATCAATATCGATATGGTTTTCATATTCACATTGCTGCTAAGCATCAGTGCAAGGGTGACTAACTACAGTTCCCGCTTTAAGTACATTTTGTTATCTGATAAAACGGTGGATATCATTTACGACCCTTACGAATGACCAGTTAGTCATGCCGGCCGGTCAAAGATTTCACCACGCTGAGATGTCTATTAATACGTATAGATATCTATAGGCAATAATTTTAATGGGCGTTGTAAGTGCTTTCCCACCTGACTGATTGATTCATTGGCCCGCTTATCAGTCGATTGGCGCACTTAAAAACATAAATCGTTTAGTGGCCTAAGCAGCCTTTAATCGCTGATTTTTGCACTCGACAATATATTAGGCGTACTATCTAAAAGTACACGCCGGACTAATTAGCCAACCAACAGAACACCAAGCCACAAAAAATTGGGTCTGTTTCAGTTACCATACGTTCCAATCGTTTGATTGCCGCCGAATCGCCTGCAATCCATCATACTATAGCCATAAATCATGTCCAATATCGAAAATGGGTGCTCTGCCTCCTATTCGACAGCCAAGTTTTGCGCGTGATTATTTAATTCCCCTAAAAATACTAGACAATGATAGGGACAGTACCGAATCGAAGGAGTAGGCTCCGTGATTAAGTTGGCTTTCTGCAGTATAAATTCATCAGGCAACACATCAACACACTCGCATAAACAGTAGGTACTTCATCAAACTAAGTTTTGATTATTTTAATTTAGTTACGTCTTAAATGGCAATCTATTCAAATTTAATGGCTGATAAGCTGGTCAAATGCCTTTAAGACATGAAATTGGGTCTCAAGTGTTTGCATAGTTATTTCAATTAATTTTTAATCGATAAGCTGGCCGTTAGGTCTTGAATATTTAATTAATAGTCGTAGTAACGCCTATATTGATTTCCTAATTCACAGAAATTTTCACGCATGTACTTGTATAATGTTTTTTACTTGTCACGGGAACACTAAAATATGGAAGCATTTAGGGGCTTGAGAATGATAAGATTGTCGGTCTGATTTGCCATTAAAATGGCCAATATCGCATATAAATTGTTTGAACCGAAGAAAGTTGCCAGAAGGGAAACTGTTTTTATTATAGAACCCACTTCCTTGAAGGTACTTTATCTTATTTTTTATTTCATAACCATTAATGAACCGCACAAAGAAATTCTTGTTCTTAAAAGGTAAACATTTATATCTAAGCGAATTTCAGAGAAAAACTTTCTGAACTAAAGGCTTTGTTCATTTGGAAAGTTTGATTTATAGTTCCTGCTCTTGTTATTTCCTTAAGTACAATGCAAACAAAATTAATTGTGGCAAAGTGAGATTGCGAGCAAATTCGCGACGGTGCCGCAAAACATTAAAAAGGGTGTATGGAGAAATATTAATAATAAAATAAATTATACGACGATGTTTGAACAGTTGTAAGGAAGACGGAATCGGTCTGGAAGTGTTGACGACCGCTTCTCGTGGTTCAAATGTGGAGCTACGACTACCATATAGTACTATATACTTCCCAGCTTTCTAGAGCGCGGACAGCCGTAAGGCCTGATACTCAAATATTTGCCCAGTGAACCACCACAAGGGAACTGTGACGACTTGTGATACTCGCACTCTGATAGTGCAATAAATAAATTATCGTATGCAAATAAATTTATGGCTGTTCATCGCTTTATCATCTGCACAGCCACCGCAGTGGAGTTGGGTTTTATGTACAGCACAGGCCTCGAATTAGCACTTGGAAGCCATAAGTTGGCTTCCCTTTGTTTATCTGTATGATAATGGTGTGATTTGGGTCGTGGGAGGGTTAAAACTCTGGTTGGAACCCAGACCTTGTCCGAACTTAGTCCTGAACTTTACAACGCACATGTCCACTCGATTTCACTATCGAACGCTATCATTCATATCATGCTCTTCTTACGCCTTATTTGTTGCTTCGGCTTATCGCAGAAAGCGTCTTCATCAATCAATCAATCAAGAGCGATTTACTTTGCCGCCTCTGCCGCAGATATGTTGGCAAAACGACTCCACCTTTTGCAATCGAATTTTGTAATAATTTCTAATACTGTAAATCACGCACTAATTGGCCGGTTCGACTCCTGGTCACTGCTGCCGTATTTTCCCACAATTTCCAACCGAACACCACGAGTTTGAAATATCGACTGCTACTCAATCCCATTTGCGAACTGCGACGTCGACAGCGGCAGCTACGCCGGCAGCGACGCCTGGGGGGTTCAGCAGAATGCGTCATGATCGGTGGCGTGAAATGCTCCAAATCGGAGATAAGTTCTATTAAGCCAAAAATATTATGGCATTCTGTGTCTCTGAAAGCAAAATTTTTTAAATTTGGTTTATCTTTTCTCAAGCTGATTTCATACTAGTGTGTCTAATATGTAATTCAGCATATATACAATAACAATGTTTCATTATATCATAATTTTGCAAACAAATATTTTTTATTATTCACTCAGAAATGGTTAAATAACTCTCAACACATTCTAATGGCTTCCAATGAACTTCAACTGCTTCAGTCAGTTCATCAAAATGAAATATAAAGTTAGCCCGCCCGCATTTCCACGAACTTTGGAGTTGCAAAAAGCCGAGGGAAGTTGGCAAAATGCAGGTCGAGCGGAAATGAGCTGGAATTCTCCGCCTCGCAGCCTCAAGAAGCATTCGGAACTCGCAGCATTATCAACTCAATTTGGTGGACAAACCGTCGGGCAAATAAATCAATTTGTGTGCCCAAGAGGCAAATGGCAGCGTTAAAGGCAGCACCAGCAGAAGTGGAGGAAGATTTCACAGTTGGGTGAACCAATTAGCACCCAGATTGTGGGTGGATGGAGGATCGAATTCCGGAGTTCGGATTTCGGAGTGGGTGGTGGGTGGTGTGTGGTGTGTGGTGGGAGTGTCATATTTGACAACTGTAATTTTCGCAGGCGCTTTGTGTACGCACGAAATTCGCCTTATTGATAAGCAATGCAAACCGCACAGTGGGAACAAAAAGTATACGACCACACACGAGTGTGGGCGTATTAATAGCAGCAAAGAGCAGTTTTCCAAGGGCCAGGCAGAAAAGCAGAGCAGTTATTATCGGCGGCCAAGGCCAGGACAAAGCTGAAAAGCTGCTCGAGTTGGTTCTGTGTGCACAAGTATTTATGCAGCCAGCGAGGGCTGCCTCAGAAGTTGGGGGAGGTAGGTGTCGACGAAAATGACGAAAATGATGATTAGATAAAACGCACTGCCTATCAAGTGCCGACTTTATCACTGTTTTTATCGATTCAGCTCTAACTGCTGCACTTAGTAGTGGTAAAGTTCAAACTTTAAAAACCCCAGATCCAGCAGCATTCAGTCTCTACTCTAATTTAACACTTTCTATTTACAACTAAAATAGTATGTGACTGTACATTTTTTATTATGCGTCTTCGAATCATGGGGTATATCTGCATTAGATAAGAAGATTCTGAAATAGCCTTTTGAGAAAGGAGAAACTGCTAAACTCTTCGATCTCCCCTCGCTGAGGCATAGGCCACTTCAGTGTTTACATATGTATTTCGTGTGGGGCTACTGGAGCAGCGAAGACTGCTAATGAGTCCCCATGTAAAGCGGAAGCTCCAGATGCGAAAAAGCATATGAAACCGGCCAGCACAACAGCAAAAACTGTTAACAGTTAGCACTCGAAGTTCGCCCCACGAACGACCTTGACATTGGGTGGTTGGTTGGCTGGGTGGCTGGGTGACAACAGGGCCCACTGTGCACGCTTTTCGCCAAGATAAACATAGCGATTGGATCGCTTAAAACCCGTTTACGATCGCCGGGCCGAATCAAATATTTGCATTCATAAGGGAAAATTTAATTAGCAGCATCAACAATGTGGAGCAATATCGATATTTACACCAAACAGGCGGGCGGCAAAAATGTTTAATTAGTCGAAATTTAACATAATTACTCACTTTGTTGGCTGCCGGTAAACAACAAGCAGTATGCGTGCTTCAAAGCAAACAATCGAACAAATGAAACTGCAAATAAGCAAGCCAAAGAATTCGATGGGAAAGAACTGATGGCCCAGCCCATCCAAACCCAGTACAATTCGCTTCCTGATCCGCTGCCAACTTCAAATTCCACCTGCAATTGCCGCACAGTTCTAAAATAAAACACTTGCCACATTCTGCGGCGGAGCGGGAAAGTTCACAGCCAGTGCGATGGCTCCTCTATTAATACCCATCCTAATGAGGTGGTTTATTAAAATTAGCCCTCAGGCACCCAGTGTAAGTACTCGAGATTATGAAACTATAGAAAGCTAAAATTACTTAATATAATATATAAGTGCTCTGAAGAAATTATACATGCCTTATACAGCTTTTTAAATACTCAACTTCTGATCTAGAAGATATATAAAAATGCTAATAACATGAAATTAAATGATGAACTTTACATCATGGGTATCTTTCTACTACGCCGCGAATTTGTTTTGTTTTTATCACCCTATAAGGTTTAACGAACTCCCCAAAAACATATGTTGCGAGGTAGCAACCTCCTATTGGCATAAGCCCCATAATATTGATTGTCACACTACCATAATTTAGTTATCAGCAAACATTCTTATCTGTAAGATATGAGCAACTTTGGACTGTAGCAAATGCGATTTGGATCTTGAACTTCCCACTCGAAGCCCCTTAACTGCAGTAGTTCAGATGCGTAATTCAATTTGCCACGGGTCTGCGGCATTGTGGCACCTCCAGTCCGTGACTCCCACTGAGTCATTTGGCGCAGGGCCTTTGCTCGGCGGACAGGCACCTTATACTACACATAGCATATATCAATGGCACTTGGACACCCTTGGACAGGACTGCGTTTCACAACAGGAAAATGACATCATTTGATTTGATTGCGGGCACGCTGAATGCCGCGAGGCAAATACAACAGAATGGAATTTGTTGTTTGGCTTTGGCTCGGGAAAACTGCATTACTCATCCATCCCCTGCGAAGATCCAGCAAAATGATGACCAAATTGCTCGCTCGACTTTTGGCAACGCGCCAAATAAACCAATTCTTAAGTATACAAGTTGATGGCAGGAAAGGTGGCAATGGCATCCGCACAGAAAGTTTACTCATTTATTACTATGTTTAAAGTTAAACTGATTTTAAAGAGTACAACATTTTTAATAATACGTTTAAAGAGTATTTAACATATGAATCTAAACTATAGGTATTTATATAGGTAATATTTTTCTATTGTGATTATTTAAAGTATGCATATGGATTAGTAAGGGATTAGTAATCCCTATTACACACCTGGAAAAACAAACATTTATGCTCAATTTTATCGAATATGACCAACAAAATGAACCAACTTTTATTAGAGAGATAAGCCATAAGATAAAGAGAGAGAAAATTCCTGTTAGTAAAATTGGTAAGTACTTGTTTGATAGGTTTTACATCATACGATTTAGGACCATGTAATGAAAAAAGGTATCACATATAATTGGCTGACAAAGGCATAACAGATATTTAAAATTTCCAAAAAACTTTCATAGAAATCAAATTTTAGGGACTTTGGAGCTAACAAAAGCGATGCCTCCCAAATTGCAAACAAAACACGAGAACAGGAAGGGCGAAAAAAAGCGAAAAACTCACCCTCGAGGCGAGGGAAAATCGCAGGGGGTGGGAAAGGCGACGGAAAAACCCTACGCAACATGTTCCATGTTCGGCGGGGAAAACAAAATGGCGAGTGGGCATTGAATGAAAGTGGAGCAGCAGCAGAAGCAGCAGCGAGGCAAACAGTTGAAACAAATTTGCAAGTGCTGGCAAAAGAAAGAGGAGACCTTTGCTAAATTCATGGGGTTTGGCATGGGCCAATAGACCAATATCAAGAGCGCGATACTGGGATTTCTGGGGGGGATTGGGGTTGGCTGTGGCTGGGGCAACCAGTTGGTGCCAAGGGCGAAGCTGGGGAATGGACGTGAGTGCTCGTAACAATTGACAATGCGGCGTATGCGCGATGGATGCCCAGCTGATACAATGAAACACTGACACAGTGAACGACTTTTCCACACACCCATACACGCGCATAATTACACCCACACACACACACACCCAGACGCAGAGTCGGAAAACTTTCCTTTGAACAGGCTTTCATTCGCCAGTGTCTGTGTATTTTATGGATACACAATTTATGTTGGCCAATTGCTCGCCTCTGTTTGTACACAGCATTTCATTCCATCGCATTTTGCTTAATTATACACAGAGACTTACCACAGTTTATAAATTTGTTGGATGTGCCAACTCTCCAGTTTCGAAATATATTCATGAATTTTTCAGATGAGATATCTATGAACTTCCGCCCCGTTGCAAAAATCTTCAAACCCAATGCAATTTCTGTTTACGCCAATTTGTTTATGCCAATTTGAGGCCGCTCACACCCGATAATATTCAGATATATACGGATATTTTGGCTATATAGCCCCGCCGATACTCGCGTATATATTTCCGTTTTGATCCGATGCGATCCGAGAGTTTTGCGCGCCTCGTGCCAAACGGAATTGGGAAAGGGCAGCCAACAACGACGACGACGTCTCCGCTCGAGAGCCAAAAAGCGTATATACAACAAGATTTGTACGAAGAGCGCCAAGCCAAAAAATAGAAGAAAAACAAACGAGACAGCAGGAAAACATACCAAATTTCCCGGGCTGGCGTTGCCATCGTACTGGGCCATGTCCAAAAGATGGGCACCATATGAGCCAGGGATCCTGCCCAGGCCTTTCAAATTTTCACTTTCGCTTGTGTGCCGCCAGGAAATACACAAATCGAGCCAGGATACTATATAATATTTTGAAATAATTGCCAGTTGATGGCAAAATACCAGCCGTCTGGCAACTTCCCATCGGAATCGGGGGAAAATTCTCAGCAGCTTTTCCGCGCCGACACATGCGCACGGAAACTTTGAGCACGACCCACAGGTCGTATGAGCACTCAGCCAAAAAAGACGCAACATTTTCGAGCGTGTGATAAGACACAAAGGCGCTGCGGGGACTTTCCCTTTCCGGAGCGGGAGCGAGGGAAATGGAAAAGCCAGGGAGAGCGAGAGTGCGTGGGCTTCTAGGGAGGAGGCCCATTTCGGGCTTTCGGCATTCGGGCCCTAGACAACGGAGCACCACATTGAGGGAGGTAGGAAATTTATGGGTCTTATCAACACACCCGCCTGGCCAGCGAGCCACGCCACCAGCCACAAATATCGGGCAATGCAAACTAACCGAAACTAGGTCAAATCCAAGCAGCCAGCTTGGAATGCTCCATCCGGAAAATGTATCGGGCGGATTGGGGAATTATTTCTAATTGCATACGGACACGGACAGTTTGCTCGGTTCAATAGACGATGTATTATGCTGCCCCTTTCAGAGAATTTAAAATGTCTGTATTATTCTATTCTTTGTATAAACTATACAACTAACTATACAAGAAATTACATTTCTTTATAAATTTTCTTTTCAGTTATGTACAAATTTAAAGAACCTATTGCTAATCAGAAACCTATTCAGAAGCCAATGCAGTTTTTGTGAAAAAATAAATGTACATTTTATTATTTGTTATTGAAAGAATTTGTTTTAGATTTGACAATTTTTCATCGATGCACTGTTGCATGCAGGGCATTTTCCAGGTGTGAGGTAAAACAATTGTTGGTCATGTCGTGGGGATGATACGGCAAATTTGATTTAGCTGCGTGATTCCACCTAGACCTCGGGCACAGTGGCATTGACTATCCTGTGGAGGTGGATAGCAGAAGACACGTTCCTATTTGCTCCCTAACTTTCCGATCCATTCAGTCGCTTAATGGCTATTTTCGCTACGCCCTTCGAACACTCTGTGGATCCGCCCATTAGGACGAGGAAGAGTCCGTTGTGCGCAACTGACTTCCACAGGCGATCGATGGTTTTGTCCAGTTTGGCAACACTTCGCTCTGCACTGTCCAACACAAAGTCCTGCTCTGGCACGCGGAGGTTGGCAATTGTCAGTGCATTTTCAAGTGCAATTTCATTGACCTTTCGAACGGCTTCTTTGGGCGTGGATACCTCGTGGACACAAACCGCCGAACTGTGATCCTTGGGCGCTGCCTCTCCTGCCTTTTCGATCACTTCCTTTAGACGGGGCTGCAGCTCGCCGACCGTGACAATGGCCGTACGCTTATCCCGCTTTGCCACATGTGCAAACAGATTGTTGGATATGGTATCGCCGCTGGATGCGTTCGCCAACTCCTGCAATTGCTTGTGCTGCGTAAGAATCTGATCTCCGAACTCAATGCTGTTCGCCAGCTTCTTCTTGACAAGCTTAAGCGTAGCTCGCGAATCCTCAATGGAATCGTGTCCATCCGTGTTCTGCTGGATAATTTCCTGTAAAAAGGTCTTTGCCAGATCCTTCAGCTTAGTCTTGCGTCGTCGCACCCCAGATGTGTTGAAGCATACACTGGTGTCAATTACATACGGATGCATCATTTTCATGGCGTTCAAATCAGAGTTTAGGGACTGCCCCACCAGAATGGCATCCGGAGGCAGTAGTTCAGACACTTCCTGCTGTACAACATTTAGCTTCTTGGTCACTTGCTCCATAATTTCTGCGGTTATGCCCGAGTATTGGGTTAGATAGTCGGTGATCCGGTTATTTGGCAGCACTAGCGTTTCATAAACGGTCTCGTACTTTTCGTTGACAATAGAGATTCGGGTTAGCTCGTTACAACCCGCCTCCGTCTGACACATTTCACAATCCACGCCGAACATAGGACTGCGATTGGTTACCGGCGCATACACATCCTTGGTATACTTAAAGTGTCGGAAGCGAGTGTGTAGCTCGCCTTGCATCGGAATAGGATAGCCCTCGTCGACCATTTGCAGGGCTGACAGCAGGAGCTTAGTGCGCGGGAACTTATCATCCTCATGCATATCATCGGTCTCAGATTTATTGTTTTTGATTGGAAAGATTGTCTTTACAAACAAAGTAGGATCTTTGTTCAACTCCACAGCAGACTCCAGGGAACCGTGCTCGTCTATCAGTCTGCGTGCCTGCACATTGGTGAGAGGAATCTGCAAGAGTAAGGGACATATTATTAAGCTAACAGGCACTTTCGTCTGAGCCTTACCTTGGCTATCTCATCGATAATCTGGCCCTCCTCCTGCGGTGGAAGTATCACCTCCAGCTTGGTGCTGAATATCCTGTTGGTGGCCTCAAACTGGCTCTCGTTAGACAGATAGTGGTAAAGAGATAGTCCCTCCAGAATGACCACCACACTGTGCGAAAGACTGAGCCACTTCTCCACGCTGCACCACCGATCCGGTCGGCAGGGACTCTTCTGCCCAATGAGAGCGCACATTATCAGGTTCTGGATGTCAGTTAGAAAGATGGGCGTGCGTGCCTCTTGGGGAGTCTCCAGGGAGGCGCGCTGACCCATCTCACGAAGCCGCAGGGCAGGTACGTTCTCAAGCTCGCGTTTGCGGCGCCTCAACTCTGCCGACAACTGTTTGTACTGATCCTCGGACAGCGAGCCGATCTCCTGGGGCAGGCTATCGCCACCAGCCTCGTGGTTGCGACTTTTCTTGGCTACCGGCTCTTCAGGATCTGATGCTCCTGTGGCCGTCTGTGATTCCCCCTCCTGCTCGGTATTATGGCGACGGTTACGCGACTTGCGTTTGCTGCCCACCATGATGAAGCCGTCGTCCTCGTCCTCCGGCTTCGCTGATGGTTTCTCCTCCACTTCGACTTCCTCTGCATCCCGTTTTTTGGCCAACTCTGCCTCGTGCAATCGATCGCGATCATTGAGCTCCATTAGATTTGCCAGGGCCGCCAGCTTCTTTTTCTTCTTCTCGTTGCGCTCGTGTTGCTTTGCCGACATCTGTTCCTTCATCCTGGAGCGCTTACCGTTCAGGCTGCAGGCGAAAATACGCAACTTTTATTAAATTATTTCGATTTTCAGCAGGTTTCGAATTGTCAACACGAAGATTTAACATGTGCGGTGTGCTAGTGTTACCAGATGGTAAAAACGGTTTCACCCCAAGCAGGGCTGCAAGTCTCCGCTATTTTCCCGTCAAATCTGGCTTTTTATCTGCAAAACCAACCAAAAGCTGGCTGCTAAGAAACGCTCCTTGTACGTATGATTCCCGAGCGCGAGTAAGAAAGGGACAAGAATAGTGTGCATCAACCGTTAGGATGCCGCGTGCTTTTGGAATAAGTTAAAACGCCGAAATTTACAAGCACTGAAAAATTATTGTTTTAAGCCCGAAATTAATTCAAATAAACACGCCACCATGTACGCAGCTGTTAAGCCGCTGTCCAAGTATCTGCAGTTCAAGTCGGTGCACATCTACGATGCTATTTTCACGCTGCACTCGAAAGTTACGGTGGCCCTGCTTCTGGCCTGCACCTTTCTACTTTCCTCGAAACAATATTTCGGGGATCCTATCCAGTGTTTTGGGGACAAGGACATGGACTACGTGCACGCCTTTTGCTGGATTTACGGGGCCTATGTGAGCGACAATGTGACTGTGGCGCCCCTGAGAAATGGCGCTGCACAGTGCCGACCAGGTGAGCTTGGAAATTCTTTGAAATTTCTCGTTTTCAGCATGGTTTCTCCATTTCAGATGCGGTGAGCAAGGTGGTGCCCCCGGAAAATCGCCACTACATCACCTACTATCAATGGGTGGTGCTGGTACTGCTCCTCGAGTCGTTTGTGTTCTATTTGCCCGCCTTTCTCTGGAAGATTTGGGAGGGCGGTCGGCTGAAGCATTTGTGCGATGATTTCCACAAGATGGCCGTTTGCAAGGACAAGAGCAGGACCCATCTTCGCGTACTGGTCAACTACTTCTCCAGCGACTACAAGGAGACCCACTTCCGCTACTTTGTCAGCTATGTCTTTTGTGAGATACTCAATTTGAGCATCAGTGTGAGTGACCCACGACTTGTAATCTAACAATCTTCGTTTTAATTAACTATTCTAATTTTGTTACCTCACAGATTCTGAACTTCCTTCTATTGGATGTATTTTTCGGCGGTTTTTGGAGACGCTACCGCGATGCCTTGCTATCCCTCTACAACGGTGATTATAACCAGTGGAACATCATCACTATGGAGGTCTTTCCTAAGTGCGCCAAGTGCGAGATGTACAAGGGCGGGCCCAGCGGTTCGTCCAACATATACGACTACCTCTGCCTGCTGCCCCTGAATATACTAAACGAGAAGATCTTCGCCTTCTTGTGGATGTGGTTTATACTAGTGGCTGTGCTCGTTTCCCTAAAGTTCCTGTACCGCCTGGCCACCATTTTGTATCCGGGAATGCGCCTGCAGTTGCTTCGTGCCAGGGCGCGTTTCATGCCCAAGGCGCACTTACAGGTGGCACTGCGCAATTGCAGTTTTGGCGACTGGTTCGTGCTGATGCGCGTGGGCAACAACATCAGCCCCGAAATATTCCGTAAGTTGCTGGAGGAGCTTTACGAAGCTCAGTCCTTGACCAAAATACCGCCAGGAGCGGACGAAATCTAAGATCTCCGCGTTGACGCCAAATTAAATATCAATTTACTGAAATAAGTATTCTCATCATCTGGCTACATCTACAGTAGAAGACTAAGGCATTGTACATTGTAAGTACATTGATTCTTTTTCACATTACCCCCATTAATATGTGCATATTATCGAAAAAATTATCTCATGCTAAGCGAAAAATGGCATTTTCAGTTCTTCACTACATTCTCATATTTCTTATTTAGAATAGTCGTTCTTGACCACTTAAATCCTTAATTGGTTGAAAACTGTATGTTTCTCTAATAAATTTGGAAAGTGTAAACATAAGCTATTTTAATGTCAAGGTTTAACGTTCTCATTTACTATTACTTTTGCATAACCTGTCCACTATTTGATCATTCAAGGTAGTGTTGAAATAATTGGTACAAGTAACTAATGCTTTTTGTATGCATTCTATATTAATTCATTTGTTTACCTTTGCGACCTAGCAATTCTGCGCAGTGCGATTGTCGTTCGGGTCCACATCATGCTTGTTATGTTATCTCGAGATAATGGATAATGAATTAAGGACCTCTTTGCGCACGCCGTGTGAAGGTCTGTGTGAGCTGTTTGCTGGTTCCTCTGAAGACTGGCATATACTTTATTTGCTTGCGCATCAATTTTTGTTGACAAAGTTCTGTGGGATCATGGGAAAGCTGGGTAAGGCACTCGATTCCTGCTTGTTTCATGCGCTACTTACGTTCTGTCTGATGGTAAAATTTGGAAAAACGATTTTTGACGATTTTCTAAAGAATATGCATGTGTTATTCTGTTTTACTACCGTCTGTTTTTGTTTTTTTTTAATATACTTTTTGGTATTGGATGTTCGCGGTCAAAGCTTTATTTTGTGGACCCGTAAAATCTCAAAGAAAGTTTTTATTTTTAATGCGCTTTACGAAATTTGTAAAAAAAAAAGTGATTTGGAAACATCTGATTGAGAGTTGAGAATTAAGTCTAGGCCTGCTTAGTTTACATTTCTGGTTGTATGGGTGGGCGGCTGGTTCGTTGATCTGCAATTCCGAAATTCTCCTTCAACTTGCACTTTTCGTCGCCCATTTCAGCTGACCTCCGCAGTTGCCGGGCCGCTTTTCATTAACCAAAAAACCATAAAGTTCGAAACGTAGCAGAAAAGTGCAGCAGTGGCCGCTGGAAGTGGGTCGTTTGCCCGCTGATCCACTTTCCGGAAGCCCTTATAAGCGGCGCATTCACCACAGTCGGCTTCAGTTGCTCTTTGCCGGGCGGATCGCGTGGAAGTCGTCATTGTCGTCATCGTGGTGGTTCCTACCGTTCTGGATTATCGTGGATATCAAATTCGCCCTTTGCGATTGCGTTTTGTGGATTTTTGTTTGAGTGAATCGCTGTAACCCGAGGCTTCTTGTTGCCCGTCCAATTTAACAAAGTGGTTAACATACGAATACAAATTTTAAAAAAATCAGCGATTCTGTGGCGTAATAGTTTATGTGATAGCTCTAGTTAAACATGTCCAGAGATTAAGTGCATTCCAGAAAGAAAATCAACACAGTGAATAATGAATTACAACATGGATGGTATGTGTTACTTTAAAATCTTTAAAATAACTTCCGTACTCGCTGGCATACAGAAATGAAACATTTTTTGCATTGTCCAATTAAGGTTTTCACCCACGTCTGTTAACATTTTAAGCAAGAAAGTGAATTCCATAAAATGGTCGAAAGTTCCAATTTATTTTGAACTTGGATCAGCATTATTATAAAAATTATTGCGAAAGTGCTGAACAGGCCAGAAAGTGCTGACCAAATTAAATAGTAAAAAGTGTTTAATTATGTATGTTGAAAATAAAAGTATGCGAAGTGAGTTTTTATAAAATCTGCGAACAAGACAATAAACATACAAGTATGTAAACAGTTTAATACTCAAGCGATTGGCTTATAAAAACGAACTTTTAATGGTTGAGTCAAAACTAATTGTTCTTGTCCTAATTACAATAATGATCTTAACCGGATTTCTTCAGAGCTGGAGGCCACCAGGCTGCTTCGGCATCCGCGGCGTTGGTGGAGCATGGGTTTCGGCAAACGGATCGTGGCCATCTCGGTTCTGGTCATCATCGTGCTGCTATTTTCGCTGGTTTACCATGGCCTTGTGGTGGAGAAAATTGGTAAGTTTGTGAAAGAGTTTAACATTTAGAATAATATAATAATTGATTAATTACTCAAAGATCAAGTGCAGCAGATTGCTGCGCTGAATGCCAGGCATCAAGTGCTTTTCAACCAGCCGTTTGAGGAGGATCGGTCTGCCCTGATTGTGAGTCCTCAAACCTTGCATTTCAAACTGCTTGACGAGGATATGAACATGGATATGAAGGATAGCAAAAACAGGAGAAGAAAGCACTTGAAGCAAATGCTGGTTAAGTTCCGGTTGAACAAGAAAAATCGCATGCGCCGTGACTTGCATGGGTTGGATCTGTTGGACCCCGTCCGGATGGAGGCCAACCTGCAGCACCTGTACACCAAGCTGCGAAGCAAAAGGGCGAGAGAAGCTCTGAGCCAACTGGAGCACGAATTCGTGCGGTGCAAGAAGCATACTCCGCAGGATTGCATGTCCGCCTTTCTGCGCATGTACAAAATGGCAAAGGAGGTTACCGAGAAAATGGAGAAGATGAAGGCCATTATGCGGGAACAGCAGTCGAAGTTGGAATCAAGTATGGAGTCCTATGAAGAGAAGGGTACATTTACGCCGGCTGATCTGATTCAGGTGGCAACTGCAGAAACCACACCAGCTGCGGTAAATGCCACTGAAAAGCCAGCGAGGACGAAGATTAAACCTTCAAGAATCAGCTGGATCATCGATGGTCACGATCATGATGAGAGTCCCGTTTATACGGATGGTGCTCCCAAGAAAGAAACTACCAAGGCACCTGAGAACACCACTCAATTGGTCGAAACTACAGCCACAACAATAAAAGCAGCCGCTACCGAAAGTATGACTGTGGAGAGCACTACAGAGAAGATCAGCTGGATTCTGGATCACTTTGACAAGCCCCAAGAGATTTTGCGTACAACTGAGGGACCAGGGCAGCGAATAATTAGAAATGTAACCACCACATCAGCGTCATCTATGAAATCCGATCCAATACTTGAAACGGAAACCACTAATAGTGATCTCGTGCCCACCACGGAAAGCGCATTGGTATGGAATATAACTACCGAAGGACCAGTAGAAGCCAGGAACAGCAGCGCTCAGCGAAAATTGCCTTTCGATTGGATTCTGGACGGAGAGGAAAATGTGGAGCCCGATGTCAAGACCACAAAAACTACGATAACCACTACGACAGGTGGTACTCTCGAAACCACCATTGTCACCACAGAGCTGCCGAAAATAACTTTCGATTGGATTATTGACGGCAGGGAAGTGGTAGAGCCGCAGGACACCACTACTGAAGCCACTGGGACCACAGCAGGACAGCGTAAGATGCCGTTCGATTGGATAATTGACGGAGAAGAAGTTGTGGAGCCGCATGAGAACGCCACCACCACAACTATAGCGACAACATTGGCCATCAGCACAACCGAGGTCAACGACAGACTTCATAATGCCACAGCCTATCCCACCAAGCCGAAGCCGGTTAAGTTTGACTGGATCATCGATGGAGGAGAGTCCAGTGGTGAGGTAAGCAGTACCTCCACAAGCCAACCAAAGTTGACTACTAGGGAGGCGATTACCGATCCAGAGTCACCGCGATCCCCGCATCCGCTGGACAACCCCACCAGCATCGAAAACATGCTGGACAGCTTTGAGCAACACGAAGCGGAGAAACCCATTCTCAGGGTCCTAAACGCTAATGAATCCTCCTCAGAATCCGTCACGGATGGTTACGAACACGAACGCCAGCTGTGGCTGAAGAAGTTTGAGGATCAGGCAAGGCCGAATCAACACGAGTTGATAGATACTTTTGGAAGCGCTTTGGATGCAAAGGCCTTGGACAAAATGGGACCCAAAATCAATCCACTCAAGGGGCACACTTGGAATGGTGAGATTGATTTCATTTTTTTTCTACGATATAATAATCAGTAATTTACTATTCCATTTACAGCTGCTGACGCCGAAATTCTTAGTCTTTGCGAACGAGTGGCTCTGCGGATGCGCAACAAAGTTGCCGCCATGTCAGACAGTGAGACTAAGGAGAAGGGGGAAACCTTCACGGCTTCACCCAGTGTACAGTTTACCAGTCGAGCTCCTGGCGGATTTCCAGTATCCGGTGAAACAATGAAGGCTTCAGCACAGTTTATGTTTAACCCTAACTTCGGAATGCCCAGCATTCCCGTTTGCTTCTATATGACGCCTGCCAATTTCCGAATGCCCATGTGGTCGAATACGCCCACATTTATGGGCATGCAGGGTGCGCACTTTGGGGGATCATCGAACCCCGGCGCCGGCATATTTTTTGTACCTCAGCAATTTGGACCGAGCGGAAACTTTTTCGGAGGAAGTGGCGGATCCGGAGCCGGTGGCCAGGGTGCCAATATCTTCTCCAAGAACGCCTCACCACAGAAAGCGTCCAGCGGGCAGCAGCAGCAGGTCTACTGCAGCTATATGCAGAATCAAGGAGGTCAGGGAGCGGGACAATCGCAGACGTCCAGTCAGCAGCAGCAGGGTGGACAGACGGCTTTCTCCAATGCCAACTTCAAGATGCGGCATGCCAATCAGTCAAGCACCGCCAATCAACAAGGACAGATCATCTACGCCAGCTATGCAGGATTGCCACAACAACCCATCCAGGAGCGATCCAGGTGCTCAGAGCCCGATCAGCTTTCCTGCTTTGGTCAACCGGAGTGCATCGCCGCCTCCAGATGGTGTGATAATGTGGTGGATTGTTCCGATGGCAGCGATGAGTCCGCCTGCACCTGTGCAGATCGCGTGGATGAAGAGCGTCTGTGCGATGGCTATGAAGATTGCCCCATGGGCGAGGACGAACTGGGATGCTTTGGCTGCGAAGCGTTGGCTTACTCCTGCTACGAAAGTCCAGAGGACTTTGCCAAACGCAATCGATCTACGATTTCTATGTGCTACAGTCGACTGGAGCGCTGCGACGGATTCATAAACTGCCTGAATGGACGCGATGAGAAGCAGTGCAGCATGCTGGTCACCGATGTGGCAGATCATATGGTGGGTAATGCATATAGCTTAGATGGGTATTTTTCTAATGCGCTTTCAAATCTCTTTCAGTCCCACGGTGCATCTGCTTCTGAGGGCTATCTCTACCACAATTATCGCGGGGATTGGCATCCTGTGTGCAACAATGGCGAAAAGTGGGCGGCTTCAGCCTGCGAGATGGATGACAGCAGTCGTAAGGATCACCCAGCATTTTTGAATGTCAGCTTCCAAGCCCTAACTTTACCGGGTCCTTTTATTGAGCCCTCCCTGCATGCTGGAGTTCACTTTGCTCAGGCGTGTCACGGACGCAATAGCCACGATTCCCTAGTAGATCATGTGGCCTATGTCAAGTGTCCCCCGATGCACTGCGGCCTACCCTCTAAAACATCTATGTTGGAACACTCGAAGAGAGTAAAAAGAGAGGTATCGGATTCAAAGGAAATCGTTGGTGATGGCCGAATCGTTGGTGGAAGTTATACAAGTGCACTCCAATGGCCATTTGTGGTTGCTATCTACAGAAACGGAAAGTTCCATTGCGGTGGAACCATTTATTCTGATCGCTGGGTGAGTTAGAAGATCTATACTTCATTTAAATATATTTAGTTAAAGATATTTTGTATAGATCATCAGCGCTGCGCACTGTGTCATCAACTATGGAAAGTACTTCTATGAAGTGCGTGCTGGTCTCTTGCGTCGCACTAGTTACTCACCCGCCACTCAGATCCAGCCCGTCTCCCATGTGGTTGTCCACCAAGCCTACGAAAGGAGAAGCATGCGAAACGATCTCTCTCTACTCCGCCTGCTAAATCCGCTGCAGTTCAATCGATGGGTTAAGCCTATTTGCTTGCCAGACAAGGGAAGAACCACAATAGGAGACGATTGGATCTGGGGCCCTGTGGAACACACTCTATGCACGGTGGTTGGTTGGGGAGCCATTAGAGAGAAGGGTCCAAGCAGTAAGTACTGAAGCCATATCAAAAACACCCATATTAACCAATTTTTACTAGGTGATCCCATGCGTCAGGTTGTCGTGCCGATTCGTAAAAAATGCAATGATCCCGAAGATCAGGCTTCAGAGGACATTTGTGCGGGCGATCCAAACGGAGGTCGCGATGCCTGTCAGGGTGATTCGGGTGGGCCGCTCTTCTGTCGCAGCGTCTCTAACCCAGATGAATTCTATTTGGCCGGAGTGGTAAGTCACGGCAATGGCTGTGCTCGCCCGCAGGAGTTTGGAGTCTACACGAGGGTCACTCTCTACCTAGACTGGCTGGAAATGGCCACTACTCCACGACTGTTGCCCAAACTTCAGCCGCTTCAACTCTGTCCCGGATTTATCTGCGTCTGGGGTGGTAAGCGATGTATTGCTAAACGGCAGCGCTGCGATCGAAACGTTGATTGTTTGGGTGGCGAGGATGAGGTGGGATGCACCTACAACTTCTTACCGGATATGGTGGGTGGAGTTCGACAGAATATCAGCACCACAACTGAGAGTGACTATCATCCAGTGCAGGAGAACGAGGAAAAGAGTGAAATGCGGGAGGTTATTCCCATTGAGGATGAAGACTTAAAGGCGGAGCAAGACGAGGAAGAGTTGTGGGAAAGCACAACATCTTTGGAGCAAACGGAAACAACACAGGGCCCAATGGATTTATCTACAACTGAAAAAATTACCTCAACTACCTCAGATGATTTATCAGTAATAGAAGAAACCACGAGTACACATTTCACAGTCAGTGATTCAGCCACTAGCCCTTCCACTCTAATGCCGTCGACGAGAAACATTTCAAGTTGGTTGCCATCCACAACTGCACAGCCTAATTTTGCACCCACAAATATTGAAACATCGACATTTGTATCTACTACAATTGAATCTGAATCTTCAACCTTACCAACTACTGTTGCCCAAACTGCGACAATGCCCACTTCAACTGAGGACTTGAAGAAGCTCACAGATTTGGCAACTGAATTTATAGAGAGCTCGACTATTGAGGCCACGATGGATGTAGTGACGACTACCTTATCTCTAACCACAACAGAGGCTCCAAAAACAGCAACTTCAGAGGGAGTGAAGGATACAACAACCGCAGAAGATACAACCACAATTAGCGACATTATTACCTCTACCATCACGCCCTTAGCCACAATCCCTACTACCATTCCAACCATTGCAACCACATTAGCACCAACTACCACTACAGAATCTGCTAGGACGACTACAACGCATAGTAGCAGCACACATTCTCCAAAGGATCAAGTTCAAATTCCTAATAAATTTGTGTGCCAAAAGTGGGTGCCTGTGTGCCATAAATTGTACTTTATTGTAATGCTCGTTTTTATTTACTTCTCAGGATGTCTCAAATTGTGGATATTACGATGCGTTGTGATCGGAAAGTGGACTGCGAGGATGGAACTGATGAACTGGACTGCACATGCAGGGATTATTTTAAGGGATCTCTAAAGAGTCTTATTTGCGATGGCAAGGCAGATTGCGAGGACCTCACAGATGAACAGGACTGCGGTAATGACTGACGAAAGTCGTTTAGTACTTTGCATTAAAAACTTTGTATTTTTTTAGTGCAATGTCAATCTAACGAGTTTCATTGCCCGCTGTCCAAAACCTGTTTGCCGTTGAGCAAACGCTGTGATAATGAAGTGGATTGTAAGTTCAAGGAAGATGAAAAGGATTGCTGTAAGTAGCAAAGTACACATTTAAAAATCTTGTCGAATTAATAATTGACATAATTTGGCGTGAATATCCTTTTCAGTTGCTTTGACCAATGGCCACGATGTGCACTTTGACGTGCATCAGCAGCCCAAGTTCAGCAGTACCGGAATCTTCTCCAGAAATGGCCATGGCGTTTGGCGCGTAGTCTGTGCTCATGAGACGGGCTATCACGAGCACCAGGCCACCACAGCAGATGCGGTGTGCGCTCTCCTTGGATTCAAGGGAGCTCACTACTTCAACAGCTCCGAGTTTGTGAGCCAGCAGGAGATGCAATCCATCACACCAGAGTTAAAAGAAGGCAGGAACCGCATGGCAGCTCAAATTCATTCCATGGTCGGCGACAATATTCAATTCACTGAGAATGAGGTCATAGCACCCGAACTGGGACCCCCAACCGCATCAAGACCAGAGAAGGATCGTCTGTTGCCCCGCAAGTGTGTCGGCATCTACGTGGAGTGCAATCCCTACTCCAATAAAACCACACCTCTCAAAACATTCAGTGCTGGGCAGGCTGTCAAGGAAAAGCCAATTGACCAGGTTCCTGTGCTATCGCCTACTATCGAGACGCACAACACTCCCAATGTGCATTTTAAGCCGCAAATTCCCGCGATGGTGGTAAATAAAAAAGATGAAATTTTGGATCGTCTGGACAAACTCATCAAGAGCAAGAAAAATAAAACCATACTGGTTAACGAGCAGCTCCATGAAGCCATTGAGGAGCTGCACTGGCCCTGGTTGACAGATGTCTATATGAATGGCGATCTCTGGTGCATCGCAGTGCTGATTGACAAACATTGGGTTATGGTCCACGAGAGCTGCCTGTCTGGCATTGACTTGGAGACTCACTACGTCAGCGTGTTGCTGGGTGGTGGCAAAACAAAGCGATCGGCCCACAGGAGTAATCACGAACAGATTCGACGTGTGGACTGCTTTGAGGGAGTGCCGAAATCCAATGTACTACTATTGCATCTGGAGCGCCCTGTGCGGTTCACCCACCATGTGCTGCCCACCTTCCTGCCTGACAGGTGAGTTAATTAATTTGTTTTTAACATTTATCGAGACCGTAATTAAATAATGTTGCTTTTTCAGCTCCCATCAAAGTCAAAGCCATGCGAGGCAGTGCATCAGTGTTCTTCATGACGATGCCACTGGACGCATCAAGACAGTAGCTATTACCCGGATACATAATGCTACCAACTGCAATTCCTGCTACAAGCTGCAGGAAAAGCAACCACCGGCTAATCTCATGCGCCTGTTAAACGTGAGTGCCGAGGATATGGCTTCAATTTCGGAGGAGGTGGAACTCATTAACGGCGTGGCCCCCACAGAGCTGCCGGCCATTACCAAATTCACCAGCTGCAACCAGTTTGGACTGAAAAATGTGAGCGATTCACATCACAATCCCAGCGATCAGGGTGTACTGGTTTGTCGGGACTCGCACACAGGCTGGTTCCCTACGGCCTTGTTCAACTACAACAATTCCGATTGCCGAAGTTTTAAACAACCATTTGGTGTGAGAACGTTGGAACTGGTATACAAATCGCTGCAGGATATCATAGGTAAATCGTTTGTAGCTTCAAAGCTCTGCCAAAGTTAATTTCAATTCCCCTATAGACAAACCGAGCTGCAAAATGCTCCTACCAGCCCCGGAATGCTCCACCCATCGTTGCCCTCTGGGTACCTGTTTGCCGCAGTCTGCGATTTGCAATGGCCGACCGGATTGTCATGATGGCAGCGATGAAGATGAAACCATGTGCCGACAGCAAAAGCAGCAATGTGCCCCTGGCGAGATGAAGTGTCGGACCAGCTTCAAATGCGTGCCGAAAAGCAAGTTTTGCGACCATGTACGTGACTGCGAGGACATGACGGATGAGCCGACCACCTGCAGTTGTTTCACTTATTTGCAGTACGTTTAAGGCAAGCAAATTAATAGCCTTTCATCACATTAAAGTCTGTGTATTTTCTAGAGCCACTGATCCGTCAAAGATATGTGATGGCAAGCGAAACTGCTGGGACAAAAGCGACGAGAGTTCAGTACTCTGTAACTGCACAGCGGATCACTTTCAGTGCAGTTCGTAAGTGTTATTGATGAAACTTCAATGTTGTCGCAGTTGCATTACATTATTTATTCTCCTCCTCCAGCTCTCCTCAAGATTGCATTCCTCGCGATTTTGTGTGTGACAAAGAGAAGGATTGTCCCAATGGAGAAGATGAGCGGTATTGCTTTGGCATAGAGCACCCGTTGCATCTGCAGAGGAAGGATTTCTGGTCCAATAGTCAGCACACGTACGCATTTAACTAGAATCTTTGTTAAGCACAGACATTTAACAAGCGCAAATTTTATAGGCAACCCGAGAAAGCTCCACAGTACGGACAAGTTATCGAACAGACCTATGGCATCTGGCATACGAAGTGCTTCCCAAAAAGCAAACCCCCACAAGTGGATGAAGTTCGGGAAATATGCAAAAAGTTGGGCTACAATCCATACAGACAGCCCAGTTATCGACTGATTGACGATAAGGAGAACAAACCCGTGCTCACATACGAGTTGGCGGATAGGCAAGGACGAAGTTTCAGTAATGAGTCGCTGATGGGCAAGTATCGCGACTCAACGAAGGCGTTAATCATCAGCAAATTCTCGCCTCTTCAACTGAATGAGCACCTTACATTGTTCCTCAAGTCCAGCAGACCAATTGCCGAGTTGGTCAGGTGGAATGCCACCGATTCCAGCATGTGCTACAGGCTGGAGATCAGATGTGCCTAAAGGATGACAATATTTACTTGGTAAGAGGTTCTTTCGTACTCTCGTGATAGTCCTTTTGTGCGTTTTAGTAGCAAATAAATGCGAGAGCTGTACTCATTTTATTAATAACTTGGTTTTATTTTAATTTCATTTTACTTTTTATCAGTTTGCGTTCGCATATTGTTGCATGTTTTTTATTTCAAGCTTGGGATCTTGGGTACTTTCGTAATTTTAGTTTAACAAACGAGTTTATAAATGTAAAAAATCGCATTGGTTGTTATGCCAAAATTCAAACAATGTAATTAATTAATGCACTTAATTAGTGTTGGGTTTCCTTTAAATTCGTTTAAAAGACATAGGTTATCGTATATTAAGATTAGTTGTTTATGAAAGAAGGTACTTGAGAATTATAAGTAATCGCACCTCTAAAGAGCAGTTAAGAAACATTTTGGAAATAAGTTAAGCTCTCTGGCGCATCGTTGGTAATATAATAATTGGTATTAGTATAAATAGTAGGGGCTTAAAGATCTTTAACGTCAGTTTAGGGAATGTATAAGAGTACCTACATAATTAAATGTATTCATAAGTCTTTGGCGCTGATTAGGATTACGTTTTCGTGAAAATGTCTAGGAGGTAATTTATGTATAATTCATTAGATAAACGCAAACGTTAGTTGGGACTTGGGTTAGGCAAAATACTTTTAAAGTTATTTGGTTTCGTTTGATTAATGTCAAAATCTCTTTGTACAATAAATAATTTCCATTTTATAATTTTAAATTGAATCACAAATGCCATTAAAGTATTATAAGTATGCATAGGTAAATGCTTAGGCTAGTGTTAATCCTTTCGATTGGCGATTAGTTAGTTAGTGTGCGATTTATATGAACCATGTGTGCGTTTCTATACCCAGTACTTCGATTCAATCTTATCGTAAAAACCAATTACAAATCAGAAGAACATCGGACTATGATATAGAATGCGAGTTTACTTTATTTACTTTGTGCAATCCTGCAAAAACCCCTATATTTTTAAACACTGCTGTAAGTACTGGGTATCTAATAGTCGGTGCTCTCGACTATAGCAATCTTTCTATTTGTATATAGTGAGCGCATTGAAAAGCGATGCATGTGTGTAGATTTTCGGTAGAGAGTGGAGTCCACTGATTGGTTTCTAAGATTGGGTTTAATAGCACAGGCAAACAGTTTTCAACACAACCTTTGACAATTCTAAGTTTAGGAGTATATAGGTTCGTAGAGCTCGGAAGATAGCGTAATAATGTTAAATTTTTGGAGCCCAACGGCTACTCTATGCTTATGTTAAGCTTCAATTTTGTTCGTCTCGTTTCGCGCAGGGCAAATCAATTTTATGTGGCTCTTATATATCGTTTACGTTGTCATGAAACACAGCAGTTTATATATTTACATATCTAACCTACTAAATTACGCTTATGATTTTATTAAGTTTACTAACTACGACGTCTTTATGTTTCCGTTTCTAAAATCTTAATGGAATAGTTGGTGCGTTTTTATTTACAAATTGATTTGTTCTAGTTGTTCTCATAGTGTATGGTAGTTTAAAGCTTATGAAGAGTTAGTAGATTTCTTTGGATGAATTCAGATTCATTGATTGATTTGACCACGGATATTCAGGAAGCTGAACACACGCGTACCAAATAAACTGTCGTTGTAAATATGTGATGGTAAGTAGGTGATTTTTGGTTTACTTAAGTGATACCGGATAGTAGTTCATAAAAATTTTAACAATTTGATCGCCAAAATCTTATTTTTGCCAATTGTTCTGGGCAATTTTTTCTAGTGGTGTTTCGCTTAAAAAATTCCAAGCAGTTCTTTGAACCAATTTCACACATTTTTGGCCAAAACGTAGGCTCAACGCTCTACTGGGAAATGCCAAAAGTGAGCAAACTAAAATTGGGGATAAATAATTGTCAAACTCATAGGAGAATAATAGTCAATAAATAATTCATATATTTTGCTAAAACTAGCACACACAATAGTTGCCTTAGGCATAAAACAAATCTCTCACTTGCAATAAATAACTAAAGATTAAACATAAAATAATGGTATAAGCTCTAAAACAGCGGGCGTCATATAATTCTTGTTAAGTTTTGTGAATCGTCGAGCTGTGGCTTATCGTATAATAAACAACTAAAACATTTTATTTAACATAAAGAGTAAAATTAAAGTTGAATTCACACAACATGTGATGCGTCCACAAAATAATTTCTTACTTTGACTACAACATTTCGATTACCTGAACTTGTTTAGGTAAAGGGGGACTTTTATTTGTTTTCTAATTTGATAGAGCTAAAATTAGTTTGAGTTTCTGTTTCCCCTGTCACTTCACTGATTCCTACGAAGTCCCTAAGTTTATTTCCGCTCTGTCTTTTCCTCAGTTAAGGTTGGTGGCGTGTTTTCCTGGGTGCGAACCAAATGCGATGGCAATTGCATGTTGAGCGGGTCGTTGATCCTTCTGAGATTGTACTCCAGCTCCGCAGACTTTCGCTTCAGTTCGTTGTAGTGCTCCACATCGAACTGAACCTTTTTGGCGTTTCTATAAAGGGAAAGCGAGAATTCGCGGTTCTTCACATCCTCCATCATGTATTCCTAAAAGTGTTGAAGATATTCAATTTAATGTGTCCAGCTTAAGTTTCAAGTTGGCCAATAAACGTACCCTCTTAGTTACACAATAGTAGGCATACATTGCCATTGTCGTCCCGTAGGTAACAAAGTAGGTGACGGGCTCCATAATATCCCAAGAGTATTCCCACCAAGTCAGCCGTGCCAAGATGCCAAATTGCACAGACATAAGGCCCAGACCCATCCAAGTCATGAAGTTGGTACGACGAGCAGCCTTTTTGCTGAGTTCCAGTTTTTTCTGAAGGCGCAATTCGTTTAGAAACTAATTGTATTTGAAGTTTTGGAAACTAACCTCTTCCAGTGGCTCTAGTTCATAGCGTAGAGTCTCCAGTTCTTTGGCCAGTTGATTGCTCTTCTCTAGCTGGTATTCTCCGACGTTGAATGCCTCGTAGAGCTGCATACGAAGTATATATTAATTAAAATTCTATAAAGTGTATTGAGTTATACCTCACCTGAGCAATAACCTTGCGGACATCACCCACTTTGTCCATTGATTCCAATGTGACCTTGTCACGCTTTGGAGGACTCACATCCAATGTGCGATTGTTGATTTGTATGCTGTAATTACGCAGGATTAGTGTACTGATTCATTTACAAGAAGGGGAGCTATCCACCTAAATGAGTCATCCAGCAAACTTTCGATGGTGCAGGACGATGCGATTCGCACACCATGCCTGTTGATCACAGCAGCACGATCGATGCCCCGATCCTCAGCTCTGAGCATGGCTAACAGATCTCCAACGTTGTGGGAGATCGGTTTCAGGGCAAACTGGCAGAGTTCGTTGCGACTGGGCAGTCGTACAGTCATGTGTGGCATGCCATTCACGTATTCCACATAGATGTCTTCTAAAAGTAGATAGTAAATAGTCTTTTATCATCTCCAGCAGAAAATAAGTTGAGAAAACAAGGCAGACATTCCCAATTGTACATTCTCCGATGGAGTTCTACCAACTCCCTTCACTTCCCCAAACAGTTTCTCCAGTCGGATCGGATGTGTGCCACACTGTGATGCAGTTTTCCTCGGTTTTAATTAACCAAGAGCCACTCAAGGTTGCTCGCCAGCCTGGCTCAATTCAAATGCAGTTAGGCGTTCGAATTGCTCGCTGAGGCGTGACTCCTCGCACGCCTCCTTTGGAGGAAGGTGCAACCAAGCCCAGTCAGCAGGCAGTTTGGGCCTGGCAATAGATGACATAGTGGATTTGACAAACATTTCAATTAGCGGCATATAATCGCATTCCAGCTGCAGCTTCCCCCTGAAGATGATACTCAGTTTCGGGCAGCCAGGCGGCCAACGAAAAGTTTTCACTTTGTCGCATGTGGGATTTATGCAGCCATGAAGTGGCACAAACGTACATTTATCTGTATCGCTGCCACTCATGCAAGCAGCCACCGATGCAACCACACGCCAATGCAACCACCAACACTGCACCACCAACATCTAATGAAGATTTTCTTCTCATACTTTACACGGAGAGAAATTACTAGCAATGTGGGTTAAGCGATTGCATAAAATGGTTTGGAATTTCCAATTTTTAAAAGACAAAGTGTTTATAAATAAAAATAATTGTATGGATAAAAATATATATTATTTTCTTGCAATTACTTTGATCTTGATATGAAACGAAAACCTTAAAAGTAGGAGTCACTACATATTAAAGTATGAAGTATGATGAAGTGAAACATATTTTCTAGCCTTTTTATGGCTACAATTTCTCCCTGTGCATCAGTTTAAGTCGCCTCCACCAACTGGGCTTGATTGTGAGTGTTAGCTGGGTCTGTTCAACCCAAGAGCAATTGTAGTCGGCGCCAAATGTAGGTGAGTAGTGTTGTTACTGTTGCTGTTGCAGCTTGGCTAACCGTCGAAGGCGATGAAGAAGTTGGCGCTCATTGCTCGCTGGCTTCTATGATGATTATTTTCATGGACTTTGATTTTTTGGGATTTTAAACATTTTATGTTTTCTTTTTCTTCGCCGCTGCTTCGCCTCCTCCGTAGGCTTCTGCTGCGGCTTTTATTGATGGTTTCAGATTTTTGTTTTAATTTTCAGTTAACTTTCAGATTTTCGCGCTAGCAGACGTGTGCGTCTCTAACTCTCGACGTTTGAGTGCCGTATAATTTGAGTGTACGTGGCAGCAGTCATTGCAAACCCATTTAATATCATTACTCTCAATTAAGCGAGAAACTGTGAAAACACATATCGAGTGTGGTGGTAAAAAATAGATTTATTGGACTGTTATCGTGCGGACACCAGTTGTTGAAAGAGACATTCTTCGTGTGATAAATGAAGAGGCCATATAGCATCCGAAAAAGTTTAATTTGCACGCTATGACAGCCGCCAGCAAAATGTAATAAAGTTTGTGCTGCTGTCACAGATTTTGCCGGCCCACAACAAACACTAAACACATAAAGAACAAACTATGAAACTGCCTTCTACACATGTGTATATCATAGAGTGTGGTCACAAATTCTGAGGAAACACGAACCACAACCGCAGACAGCAAACGTGCTAACATTGATAATGCCATGTCGGATGTTCGCCCACGGCTTCGCTTTGATAGGCCGCAACTTTGCTTCATCAAAACTTAATAGCCACTTTCCGCATCCCTGCCAAAACAAGGCTAACAAGTGTCAGGCAACTCGCACAAAAACCCAGCCACAGTGTGCAGTGTATAGTGCATGAGTGGAAACACGTGGCTGGCAAACCAAATGAGGCCAGAGGCGACCGCTTCCGTTTACCTCGGGAAATGCAAGCGGCAATCAGCCCGCAAATTTATAACAGTCGCCTCCTTTTTGTGTGGCAGGGTGTTGGAATTGCACAGGGACACAAACAAGATCAATCAATCAACTCCTTGTTCGAGGACAGTAAACTAAGCAGTAAACAAGTCCATAACGAATTCTTAGGGCTATGTTTGCTGGCTTGTGATTAGTTGAACCATTTTACATGGAAACATTTTTCAATTAATAACTCATTAGTTACACAAATTTATTGTTGCAAAAGTGAAGTAACGTACAGAATCGAGACGTAAATGTTTTCCCAGTGTAAATTCATTGCCTGCAATGAATTATTATTTAAATGTCGTGACCCCAGTTTTCATTTGCTGGCGCCACAAAACGCAAACAAAGGAAGCAAACACAGGGAATGGGGCTAAGGTGGTAAAGTGGATTGGTAGCGTTTTCAGAATTAAACACAGCACTTAGGTTTCGTTTTCTCGATAAGGCGACTCCATCTGCACATCATAGCTTAAATAATATTTTTCTAGTTCACGACGCAATCTCGCAGAATGTCCTGTAACAAATGTGTTGCAGACTTTCAGGCTGCCGTGATTTCCACATGTGAGAGGAAAACTGCGAGCCAAGTGTTGGTGCGTGTGTGTGTGTGTGTGCATGAGCATTGCATGATTACATGGCAGTGTCCTTTGCCTCCCAAACACCCACACCCCGCAATGCCGGCAAAAATTGTCCTTTGTGCATTATTAAAAATTCCGGCAACCGCCGCCTCGTGTTTGCATATTTTGTGTGATTTCATTTTTCCGTCGTACATTTTCAACAAGATTCGCGTGCCAGGTTTTTCCCCCTTAGGTTGCCTGTTTGTGTATGCCCCTGCATTTAAATCAAATTAAAAAAGCCGCACCCCAAACCGGCGTCAACATTAAATAACTGCATGCATAAAATATACCAAAAACATACGCTTAAATTAAACGATAAAAAAGGGAAAAAATCGCGGCAAACCAAAAGGACACGGGAAGCGCAGGATCGAGCGATTAGTTGGTAAGTTGGGAGGGTTTTAGAGCTGGATGGCAATGACAAAGTGAAGACCACAAGGTTTCCGTGCTCCAGGCGACATTTCCATTTTGTACTCTTTCCTTTACATTTATTTGCTGATTACACTAGTTTACCAAAGCTTAAATTTCAAAAATGCCATTTTTAAAAGCTGTCGTTGATAATTCCGAATATAAAATACAAGCATGTCTTCTACATTTACCCAATAAATTTGGTATTTTTAAACAGGTTTCATCTGAGTTTTGATTACTTCCAGCCAGCTAAGTTTAAACTTTATGGTCCAATGCTATCAAATAAAAAGGTTTTTTTATTTGAGTATGCTTCAACTACAGCGTTTTAATGGCAATTTACTGGCAGAACGAATGTAAACTAGTGTTTGGGGATTTGAATCGGGCCCCGGTTTTACCTACCATTTTGTTGAGCAGTGTTTTTGGGGGCAGAGGTCGAGCTGGAATTATTTACGAGCTCCCCAATGAACACCTCCGGCGACAAATTGGAACCTGTTGTTCTTGGCAACGTTTTGGCACTGCAGGTGCTGGATCTTGTTAGCCGTTCGACTAGGACTTGTTTTCGGCCCGATGCACTCAGTCCGAGCGCTTTTAGCCGCGTCCTCAGCTCGGCCAACGTGAGTCGCGTGATATCTGGGATGATGGTAATGATTATGTGTAGGCATGGGCAGAGGCGCAAAAAGTAGGTGATGAAATAAAAAAGGAGATACGAAAAAAGAAATTAAACAGAATTTTCCATCAGTGGGCTTGGTCAGGTGCCAATTTGACAGGCACCGCCTCCACAGGAAGATAGCCCAAGGAGTCTTGCCCACAAAAAGCGCAGTAAAAATGATGGCACGTGCAGTTAACGCCGCAAGAATGCACATAAAAAAGCGAGTTGAAAATGTGTTTAACAAAATAAAAAATACAGCGGAAAAAACAGACGTGAATGGCGAAAAATGTTGATGGAGAGGCAAGGCATTCGCTTCAGGGAAACGCTGGGAAAAATAAAAAATAAAGGACCCTCTGGCTTGTCACAACATTTTCTTTATCGGACCCGGAAATGACACACACACACACACACACAAAAATGGGGGGCGGCAGAATGGGCGTGGGTGTGGCAGTAGGCGTGACCGAAGACCATCAAAAAAAATGCAGGCACATTAAATTTAATGCCATTGTCACTCTGCAAATTAACACAATGAATGGCAGCAGAGGCTTCGGTTTGATTGCCTCGAAAAGGCTGAGTGAGATAAGATGCTTTTCGCAGTGGAAGTAACCGCAGCAGAATTGTGAATAATAAATGCTTTAGAAAATATTTATTTTACTTTAACGTCGCAGCAAAGTCGGTTAAATGCTAAAACTCCATTTAGTAAAAAAGGCAACAGTCTTACCTCATTTTACGCAGCATTATGTTTATTTAATATCGATTTTCTGCGTAATATTTATTGCTTTTAGCAACTAATCCCATTTCCCTTCCACTTCTGGTTTTCCTCTGGCCTGATATGCGAATATGTGGCCACAGTTGAACTTAATGCTGCGCCATCTAAGCGGATAAAAGCCCTTCATACTGATTTACATTACTTAAATTAAGCAAGGGCGAATCCAGAAGGGAAAAACAAAACATGAAATAAATTGGGAAAACTTTCAGAGTGGGAAAATATGCGTAAGCCGAGGGCAAACTGATACAAAAACCCCCATTTCAACAACATTCGGGCATCCATAAACCATCGATGCCTTTAAGCTTATGAAATATTTATGAAATTGCAGGACAGCAGAAAATCTCTTGAAATATCCTGTTTTATTTGAGCCTTTATTGTGGTAATTTCGTTGTTTACTTCCAATGCCAGCCGTAAAATCCCAGATTTACCGACCTAAATTATTTGCTTGATATTCGATTTGTGCTTATTTCCAGCGAACGTTAATATATTCCGCTCAGCTCGAAGACAACTACAGTTTGTAAAGATATATTTTCAAGTTTGATGCGATTTTAGGGCCGCCAGGTAACCGCCTAATTAATGAAAAAAGGCCACGGAAAGCGCTGAGAGTTCTGCGGGAAACTCAACAAGCTTGGGTGATTCTGTGGGTGGTGTTTTGTGTGTGTTAGCATACAACAAACGAACGAGAGGGCACCACAAAAACCGCAACCGCAACCGCTTTGCGGGCATTGTGTTTTTGCATTGTGCTTAGGCCTTTTAATATTTCACTGCATTTGCTCCTATTTTATTCACCTTGATCCCATTCTACGCCATAAGCCAAAGGCAACGGCGGAGTTTGCACAATAATCCCAAACTGCGGGCCAAGACAAACAGCGCGTAACAAAGTGCTGGGATGCAGGAACTTCAATGCAACTTTTGGCCGAGTGTCTGGCGCACAAAAGTAGGCAATGCCTTGCCCATTTATTTTTTGGAGAGCCATACTCGCAGAACTCAAGGACAGAATCGGTGGATGGCACATAGGATATATTTATGGCCATGAACACTGTGCCGCTTATAGCCACGGCAGTGGGAATCCGTTTTTAGAGGCTCCATTAAAAATTGAAATGATCTATAAGTGCAAGGAGGGCCTACCAGGGCCACAGAATATGGTATGTTTCCCACTGGGGCTAATGCGTTTGTCTTGTTTAGGTTACAACTTTAGGATTCTATCTATGAAACAAGGTTGCAGAGTGCATTTGGCTATAATTTGGTTTTTAGTAGTGCTTAGATTTTATGATGATGGATAAAATATGGTACCTTTTCTTATTTAACAAACGTACATATATTGGCTTTATCACGAATAGAAATCTTTTTTTTTAATCAAAATAATCATTTTAAGTAACTAACAAAAAGTATGTAGCTTTTAAAGTGCATAGGGTATGCGAATTCTAATTAGTCAATAATTTTCTGATAATGCAGTTCGAACCTTTTATTATATGATGATCCTTTATGATGAACTACGTTTATCTTCGCATATCTTGTGCAACGCCATCAAATTTTGTCAATGCAAGTCGAGCAGATCTTTGCCCGTCGCCCAAAATCGATTTTCCTGCACTTTATAATTTACTGAATTTTAAAACAATGTACTGTGTGAAGTCTCCGCCTCGAGGCGCCCTCCTTTGCCCAGAACAAATGCCCCGCCCGCTCTGTTCATCACCTTGGACTGTGGACGCACAGAGCGGAAATTGTGTTTTTCCCACTACACTGATTGCCTCTGTATGTACGGTATGTAATGCCCGGACCGGTGGGAAAACAAGACAAGAACCCCAGGAACGCTTCGTTGAACTCTTCAAGCTCTTCACATGGCGACAACGAGGACATTGAGGCCGTCGAGTGGCAACATTTTGAGTGGGCCAGCCAAGTGGCGTGTGGAGCCCGGAGGATGCTCCTCCTCAGCCGCCCACTTGGCCGCTTATTAAATAGATAACGCCTCCGCCATATGTTGTTCCTGTTTTGTGGGGCAGTGTTTATTTAGCCGCCTCCAGCTAGTTGATTAATTGCACAAACTTTACGCAAAGTAAATGTCAAGCAGCAGTCTTATTATCTTTCACTTGCAGGCCGGCCGACTGCTCCCGCCCGAAACTATTAACTAATTGAGCACTCCGTGGAAGGTCCACCTTCGAGTCCGGCACATTTTGCACGTCAAAATAGGCTCCGGACAGAGTCACAGCCTCTGCTATGGCGGCACGATGGGCAACGGATACTTTCGAACGTCACAAACGTCGTCGTCGTCGCGCCAGCGGGAAAAGCGGTAAGTGACACCCAGCTACGCCATAACTGCACTCAGAGAAATAACATTGATTGAAAAAATGACATAAATCTCCATCTATGTGATTTAAAACCCTCCAAAGACTTTCAAGCCTTGATGTATGACCAGATTATTGGTTTTATGGCTAACTTGTAGGTTAATGCCAGTGACGACATCGAATTCAATAAAGAGGTCGTGTAAATTGTGACATTTCTCACTTCTCACATTAGTTTGCCGAGTGTAGCAGCATCCCTGTTCCGGGTCAAGTGCTCCGGAGGAGGGGAGCCAATAAAATATCCTTGCAGACGTATGTGCCGGGAAGGGTTTCCTGGTAAGCCATAAAAGTTGCCGGCGTGTGAGTAACCGCCGACCCAGTTCCCTTCTCTAATCAGCCTCAACTGGACATCGATATTTATGTCCTGTGGCTGGGGGGAAACACATTTTGTGGATGTGACAAATGGTCGCCTTAGACAGAAGGGTTTAAAAGTCGGCCAGTTAAGCTTGGCCTGACTGGGCAATTTTAGTGTTTAATGAAGTAGGGATTTGCTTGGAAAAGCTCTAGGAAAGCCACAAAGTGCACATATAAATTTTGAGCAGCAAATGTCACATTAAAAGGGTTCACTTAATTCAACACAAAGTTGTTAAATCTTCCAGCGATAAGGCAAAGCGTTGGAAAAACAAGAAGAATTGTAAATAATAAATGTTTTTAGACATGAGAACAAGTAAGTCATATAATTTTGAAGGTGTTTTTGCTAAAGTTGCGGAAAACAGAGATTTATCAAAACTTTTGCGAGGGTAAGCATAACGCAAAAAGGTCAACAAAAAAATAATAATGAGGAGATTTTGTGGCTGAGAAAAAGGTGGAAATGAAAAATTAATTTGTGATGATTTTCCCATTCATAATTAGTCAGCTTCTCGTTGGCGATGACTTTTAAATCGATTTTATTTGCGAATTTAATTGACGGTGCGGAAAAAACAAATAGCTTTGGATGTCCGCCACAAATGGAACACTTTACCAATTAATTAAATGGCAGAAAAGCCAAAGTGAGGACGAAATTCAGCAGAGCGGCAATTAAAATGGCCAGCGGCGCCTACATGGGAAGGATACTCGAATAGATGGACGGGGCGTGGCGTCCAGTATGCACTCATTCAGCGAGAGTCCTTTTGGGGGCGGGATTGGGCCGTGGGCGTGGCAGCTGCTCCCTGCCAACAGCTGTTGGCGCTGCTCAAATTCCAATCTGCCGCCATCGAAGCGGCGAAGGGCATAAGCTCCAAAACCTGACGAGGGTTGCCCAAAAGCAATTAAAACGGCTTTCTATACTTCTCGATCGATGTGTGGTTGGCTATATTGTGTTTCAGTTTAGAATGATAAGCATTCTCAGCTGGAATTTCTATTGTGGCTGTCTAACAAAAATCTCACAGGAACTTCAAGCTTTCTGTTCAAGAAGCACTATATAATTTGGATTGTCTTAAATTTCTATTCAACCCCAATTCAGAAACGTACTAATTGAGTAAAATTTGAATTAAAACTGCCAAAGAATTCTATGAATCTAAACAATAAAAATAAGTTCCTACCGAAATATGCATGAATAGTATTTTAGAAGTCACTGGAGATTGCATGGTGCATTTTCAACCTCTTGAAAAACTGCAAGCCCCAATTTAAACTCCCTGCTGTATTAAACCACAACATTTTTTTTTTTTTTTTGTGCTTTGCAGCCAGCAACTACCGGAAAACATTTTCCCACTTTTCGATATAGCCCCCCTTGGCTTGGCCAAAATTGAATTGATCCCGTTCGCAACTGAAAATCTTGTTTTGTTCTCCCAAATTTTGCGCCATTATTTCCCCGGCGTTGTTTTGCCTCCTGAACTGCTGAGCTGCTGAACGCAGAGGGAGTTTCTGAAAAGCCGACAGGCATTCGCTTCATTTGCATATAGAATGCGTGTTCCGAGGGGCGGTAATGTATCGACGGGCTTTTGGCAACTGGGGCTTTCGGAAACGGAAGATGAATGGAGGGCATGTGGGCGGAAGTGTCTACATGAAGATGTTAAAGATACAACAGCGATTCGATGACAATTTTTTTTGGCCACTGGGCCAGTAAACACCAATCGATTTATGCATAAAGGACAGACGGGCACGGATGGATGTGTCAATGGGGCTTGGGTTAAGATTAACCTTTGGCAGCCTTAAACATTTAGTCACGTATCAATGGAGCTGTACATTTTTATGGTAACTGCTATGTAAAAGAATGTCTTTGTGTTTGGACACTGAGAAAAAGCCTACATATACACGAAAATCTTTTAAACAACTTCAGAATGGATCATGAAAAGGGTAACAACGAGGTGTTTTAGTTTCTCAACATCCTACAGTTTTCAGTGTTATCCTGAATCTTCCTATGTTTACCTTTTTCTGTGAACTAAAACTACAAACTCTGAAATTGTTCAAGTTTCCTTTTGCATACTACGCTTTTTTCTTGCTGTGTATATGGGTGACGGATTCGTATAGGTACGGTGTGCAGATGGGCTTGTAGTATGTGTGAGTGTGTTGGTGTCAGCATTACGTGTTAGGCATACTTCTCTGTACTTTTCTCACTTGGCCCTTCCATGTCTTATTTAACGCTGTCAACTCACCTGTAAATACAAGAGTAAAAGCGGAGGAAAGGTGGTTAGAGATGTTGTAAAGGCTCAATAAATTTCCAAACTTAGATGGACAAATTGAGTTTCAGTGTGGGAAATTCCATTGCATACTTCTGCAAGGACATAAACTTTTTTATGAACGTTCGATGTTCATTAAAAAAGTTTCAAGCACATTTTGGCATGCAAAAGCCGATCCAGAATATAGAACAACAGCAACGAAAAAACAAGTGGCTTATTGGTAGCTAAACTTTCACTAAATTTAATTTGACGGCAACCAAAATAGTAATTGGATGGAGGGAAGGAAAACTGTCCGTTGCGAGAGTGAGACAGACGAAGGATAGCCAGTTTAGCCTCCAACAATTTAGCAATTAGAATGTGAAAAAAGTTTGTACGGCTGCCGTCTATGCAAAGTACGAAATAATTGCATTTTTTATATCCGCCCAGAAGGCCTGCGGTTTATGACGTCGCCTGTCTGACTGTATAATAAATATCTCACACTAAATTGCACATTGAGAATTAAAAGCGGAAAAGGAGCAACGAGCCAAAGGCGGCTAAATGAAGCGAAATGGGCCTATAGAAAGAATGACGGAGAGCCCACAAATTGCCGCCGACTGTGTGCAAATGGCAGCAGAAAAGCGCTGGAAAGCAAGAGTTGAGACAATTTCCGCAAACGAGCCAGGACAAGAAAAGCAGGAAAAGCGAAACGCCTGGAAGTAGGCTATACAAATTGCAGCCCACTTGCATGTGCATGTGTATGTGTTTTTGTATGTGTGCAAAAGGCGTAACAAGCGAATATCGCTTTCCCCGCCCAGCTATTTTGCCTCTCTCTCCACCGCCCGTTGCAGCTCCACAGACATTGAGATTGTCAATGTCTGGCGGAGCGTAAAACATTTTCTCAGTCTCGTGTCTGCAATCTGATAAATTCTGCATCCAGCCTCCATCATCTGTCCGATTATCTCGCCCAGATTTCGCCTGGCACATGCAATTGATTAGTGCCATGCACAAATTGACAGAACAGAACCTGCTACACTCCAGACCCAAGCTAATGTAATTTAATGGAGTGCACGAGGACCTTGGAGCAATGCCAGGGCCACCCCTACGAGGTATTACGAGGTATTTTCCTAGTTGGATTTCCACACTAGAAGCCTGCAAACTATGATTACTATTCCCTTCAGTTACTAATTTTAAAGGTGTTTTAAAGTAGTTCCCTTAACTTTTTGCCTAAGTTAGTTGACATGAAACCGTGATTTTTATTTTCGAGAATCCGCTCCTGAGTGCATTTCACTTATCCATCCGTGGATACATCGTGTATCCATCGCCTCACTGGCTTTCGAATCAGTAAGCACATGTGCAGCTCCTGCATTTGCATATCTGACTATATGGACACTCTGCTTTCTATTTGCTTCAGTGTTTGCATTTCCCTGACTGGAAATAAATATTTACCATATTACAAAAGTTTCCCTGCATTTGCATAATGCGGCACAGCAAAAAAAAAAATCATAAATTCATTTAAAATAAAACAAGAATTTTGAGAAATATATTCTTATGTTTTTTGTTCACAAAATATAGTTGTAAAACTGAATGCTTAACCCCTTAATCTTTGCCAGAGAAACAAGTGCACTGGATACACTTGTCGACCAATATTTGCCTTGACTTTGGAAGCCATCTGGTGCTCGGAATGGCCTAACAAGATGTCATAGTGTTTCCATAAGCAGTGCGGGAATAATTCGGAATAAAGGAACTTTTCCAGCCGCCCTGAATCGCATGAATGTATGCATGCTTGTTTATGTGTCAAAACACCGTAAACAAGTTTGCAATTTTCTGAAAAGAAGGATGAAAAAGCGAAACCAAACAAAAACAGGGTACTAAGTTGGCTTTTATGCACTGCGAGGCTGTATAAGTAGAATGTAAAGGAGAAAAATAGAGGCGGACGGCATATGTTTTATTTATTGTTTGGCTGCACTTTCCCCAGCTCTTTTCAACATTTGCTTTGGACGCTTTATTGCATTTTTGCGCAGCTTTGCCAACTTTAAAGGCGAAGAAAAATACACAAGTTGCAAAATCCAGCAGAACGTTTATTTTGAGTGAAAGCTCTGGTGTGGAAAAAGCAAGTAGACAGGGAGAAATTATTTCGGGGGGACAGAAGAGATGGGCCTTGGCAATTCAAGAGATCCTGGCTACTTGTGAGAAGCGTCCACGAGTCGCTAAACATTTAAGATTTCAGCAAAAGAAGATATGCAGCATTTGTCCTAATTTTAAAGTTCTCATTTCCATTTAGTTGCATTTTCCAGCTGCACTTTGCTAAAAGAGTTGCATACTGCAATGAACAGATGGAGCAATCAAAGTTTGAATTTGAATGAAACTAATTA